GGCGACGAGATGAGATAAACAAATGGGTGATGACGCGTCTTGTTTGGTGTCTTTGTGTGTTTGTCGATTTTTTTCACTCATCAATGAGGCCGCGTTGGGGAAGGCAGCGCGAGTGCAGTTGTGCTTGTTTCGTGCCATCCCGCCAGCCCCGCACTGCCTCCCACGCGGAGGGGTTTGACGGCTGCGGAGCCCGCAACGACCGCCACCTCGTCGGCCGACAGCGAGTGCCCGGTCCTCATCGGTGCGTGTGTGTGTTATTGTGCGAGCGTGGGATGAATCGCACCTTCGGTGGTGGGGATGTTGGGCGCGTTAAACGAAGGTGCCATCGCCCATTGTGGCACTTTCTTTCTTTGTAGGAATAGGAGGGGCAAGGCCTCAGCCAGGCGCATATTTGTTTCCCTCTTTTTTTTTTTCCTTGTTTGCTTTTTGTTTCACCCCCACCTCCTTTTTTTTTTTGGCGCCTCTTTTTTTACACTTCAGTTTTTCGTTTGCCTTGTGGCGCTCGGCGGCTTCACGAATTACATGCCGACCATTTCGCCTGCGCGTAATTGCACTTTGTGTGTGTGTGTGTGCTTCTGTACGTCTGTGCTTTCATGAGTACAATTAGTTCAAGTTGTCCTACCCACGCTATTGTTCAACCCTTCTCTTTTGCTTTGTTTTTTTTTTGCGCTCTTTTGCGTTGGTGGCCGCAGAGCAGAGGGCCGACGAAATGGTGCAGAAAGGAGTGCAGAAGAAGAACAGCTGAAGGCGGTATGGGGGAGAAGATATAAGATGCACACGCACACATGATGATAGAGTGCGTGCGTGGGTAAATGTGTGCGTGCCTGTGTGTGTGCACGGCTTGGAAGCAGCATTGGTTTGAATTGTTGTTTTCAGCAGTGGAGGGCAGGTGGGTTGAGGCGCGTGTTTGCGTGGGTGACGATGCTGTCAGCAAAAAAGCTAATGTGTTTTTGTTTCTTGCGTGCGTTTTTGTTTGTATGCGAACGGGCAGGGGAGCAGCTGTGGTTGCTTCCTCTCTTTGTGAGGATGTAGATTGTTTGTCTCTCGCCTGTACACATACACACACAAACATACGCACTTATCTCTTCATTATTTTTTTTTTCGTTCTGGCCCTTGCAGGAAAATCACGCTGCGCGTACTCAGGTCTTGTGGTCACAAAAAGAGACACGGTGCTGCATCTGTTTCTGTCAGAGAGAGAGAGAGAGAGAGAGAGGGTGTGTTGCACCGAAACAGCCTCCGGGTGCGAGTGTGCGTGGCTGAAAAGAACAAACAAGCATAGTGAAAGGGCGAAGGAGCAGCAAAGGTAAAACATACAATTTTGTGTGGGTAGGCGAGCTGACAGACGGGCAGACGCCTGCACACAGTTCTCTACCCTTCGCATATATATATATTTCATCTCTGGTGTCCTGCTTCTTCGTGTGTGTAGTGCGTGTCCCGCAATTCCGTGCGTGAAGCTTGCAGGAGACATGACGAGGTTTGCGGCGCCGCCCCCTGCTTCGAAGAAGCGCTCTCGCAAGAGCCAGCAAGACAAGGCGGCGTCAGGCCAGAAAAAGACGCCGGCTGCGACCGTGACGGGCGAGGTACTGGACGATGAAAGCCTATTTGCTGCGTGCAAGGCTCCGAGCGAGGGGGTGCAGGCGTCGTTGCCGCTGGCGGTAGGGCCTGCCGTGAACCGCAACGACGTTGTGGCCGACGAAAAACGCCACGCACTGCCCTCCGGTGTGGAAGCCTCAGCAAAGGCAAGTAAGGGCCCTAAGGGCGGCAAAAGGGAGAAGGTCAAAACTACAAAGGGTAACGATACAGGTAAGGCGAGTATGTTGTCTGGCACGCCGCCAACAACGGGGAGGGAGAAGCTGCGGCCAAAGGCATCCAATACGAAACCCACCAAGGCTAGGCTTAGCGAATCCAGTGAGGCGACTGTAGTAGCAGAACCGGAGGAGTTTGGCCTCCGCAGCAACGAGAATAGGAACAACGTTGAGTCCTCGTCACATCCACAGGCATCAGAGACAAAAAGTAGATCTTCTGTGATGCAGATTGTGGAACATGATATCTCTGAGCTACTGATGGATGGGATGTGCCATGTAAAAGGAGCTTCAAAAGTAACGCCTTTGCGTGTTTTGCTCGCCTCTGGTGACAACTCGGGGAACATTACTGGTCGTAGTGATGAACAGAGGAATAGCAACAAAGTTTCGAGTGACACCTGCCGCGTTACTGAGAACTCTTTTTCTATGAAGGAGGAGGAAACACCGGAGAAGCCACTCTCCATGCGATATTCAGTTATGCCTCCCCTGACCGTTCCGAGAAATGGAAGAAAGAAGCAGACGGAGGAGAAGGGCACGGTGTCAAAATATTTCTCTACCTCTACATCACGTGCATCGTCCGCACCGTCTGTAAGCTTGAGCTGTGAAGTTTCATCGACTGCCAATTCAGATGGAAAGGCGTCTGTCAGGCGAAGTGCACATTCATCCCTTGAAGAAGCTTTAGGTGGTTTGTTGCCAAACAACTTTTTGTACCCGACCCGACAACTTCTCACTCGAAGTTTGGCATCGGCGGCTGAGAAGGAACGTACCGCGACAATTGTTTTTGACCTTGACGAAACGCTGTGTAACAACCGTCAACATGGTCCGGCGATACTTCGCCCTGGCGCTGTTGAGATGCTGAGGCACCTTAGGTCCTTATACCCGCATCCGGTACTACACGCGGGTGAACCACTGATGGAATCCACCGGTACTAAGTCTTCCACCCAGGGAGTGGTGAGTGGAAAATGCGGCGGTGCTGGGAGTGGCTGTTTGTCGGCAACAGAAACCCCTCCAGAGGACGGTGTTATGTTGCGACTGGAGATAATAATCTGGACAGCAAGTGTAGAAGTGGTTGCTCGGCCTGTTATCGCCCGCCTGGACCCTGACGGCACCATTCTCGACGATGTCATCTACCGTGATGTGCGCTGGTACCGTGATGGAGGGTATACGAAGGACCTACGCCGTATCGGGCGTCATCTCGAGCGTAACATTATTGTGGAGAATGCGCCTTCATGTGTTTGTATGAATCGACGCAATGCCATTCTTGTGAATGACTTTGTCAACAATCCAGCCGACCGGCAACTCGTCATTGTCCGCGCCATACTGCAAGAATGGCTTGATAATGTTAACACACTGCTCGTGCATTGGAAGTTGCGCCAGACTGAACAGAAGCGACACCGTATGGTACAAGATGGCGGGGAGAGTCCTGAGCCTGATCAGCCTTTAGTTACACCTCTTACACAGGCCGGCTCAGCGCAAAGCTCCGCTTCGAGAAGCAAAGCAGAGGTTTCTCTTTCAACATCCACCCATGGCGGGGAGGTTGTATTACAGGAGCTGGAGCAGAAGGCCTCCGCGATTCATTTCCTCACGAATCACCCACTCATTTCACCGGGAACGCGCTATGTGAAGCCGTCTGCCTGGAAAAAGGCTGCGAGGTATCTCAATGGCAGCGGAGCTGCCACCGCAGTGACAAAGTCTTTGACGGCAGCAGCAGCCGCATCCCCGAGAGGAAGTGCTGGGGGACGAAGTTGGCAGGAACAGTCACCTACCACCCTGACTCGTCCAGTGGTTATTGCAAAACCGCGCGGGCACCGCTTGTTTGTCGATATGGCGCGTGGGCCTCGTGAATCACGCCAGTGACACGGTACAAGAGCAAGCCGTTCCCTCGTGAACCCTCGCAACGTTTTTCAGGCAAATGGGCTTGGGGTTGTCAAACCCAAAGAAAATGCCAAGCGGCAAAAAGAAAACGGAGCAAAGAACCCATAACAGAAAAATGGACTTTTGTGGCTCCCAATAAGGCTTGCTAGGCAAGGCTTTCAAATGATGGGACCCCATAAGAAAAAAACAAAACAAAAAAAAAACGTTTGTTCTTCTCTTTTTTTTTTTGTTGTTGTTCTTCTGCTATTGCTTTTTGTTTTCCTTCCCATTAGGCAAACCGAGAGAATGGATAGGACGCGCAACCAAAACAAACAAGAAATATAGTGAGAAATGAACACTCCGTCATTCTGAGCAGAACGTGTGCTGAGTAATTCTTTCATTTGATTCCCTAGACAGGCGTCTTTGTGAGTTCTTCTATACACATGCTTATTATAAAGACTGTAATCACCGGCAATCTGGCCTCTGCTATGTATGTATGTATGTGTGTGTGTTTGTGTGTGGACGTTTTATCACTTCTTACGGCCGTTATTCCCAATTTTTTTTCACTTGCTTTAATTTAGCGACCGCCGTGTTTTTTTTTTATTAGTTGTTCTTCCTTTGCGGGTCTCCGGGATCGGCCGACGTGTGAGGGCCCATGAGAGGGGTTTTGTGATGAATTACGGGGGGTGGAAAAGGCGCGCGGGGTGGAACGAGGGCGTTGCTCTCCCTGATTGGGCGTTTACAAGTGTTCTTTGTGGTTTTTATGGCTCTCCCCGCTGAGCGAAATGTGTGATGATGTCACCTTCTTGCATTACTCATTCCGTTTTTTTTTTATTGCTTATATTTGCTTTGCTGCTTGCTGTGTCTCTTTTTCCCCACAGTCTCTTTTGCGTGAGTCAACTCCGTATTGCTGCTTGAATTCACCACCACCACCACCAACGCCCTTTTCCCCTTTTTTCTGTGCATATAAATTGCGTTTTTTTTTTGCTTTTCTGCCTCTTTCATTCTTATCGTCCCCGTCAGACTTGCTCATTATAATTTTGTTACGCTGGAGGCAATGTGTATGTTTTCAACGGGCGGTTTTTTTTTCTTTCCCGTGTCCCCGCCCTTGTTGCTGCGATTCCTTTTTTCTTGCTTTTCTGATCTCTCTCTCTCCCTCCTCCCCCCCCCCCCAACTTGCAATGGAGATCTTGTGTGTGTGTGTGTCTTTCTTTAGTTTCATCTGTGTGCGTGCGTGTGTGTCTGTGTGTCGGCGTCTGAGCCCTCAGCAGCATTGCGCTGCGGCTGCCTTCATGGATGTTTTTTTTTTGCTCTTGTTTTTCTCTTTTCCTTTTCGTATTCGAGTAGAGTCAGGTGTCATGCAGCATGGGCGTCGACGGTTCCACTCCGTGGCCTCGGCCCCGCACTTCGTGACGCCGAGAAGGGCGTCGCCGCTGTTATGGGCGCGAAGAGGGGCGGCGTCTTCTCCGTCAGGGATGAGGCAGTCGCACGTGACCCCCTTCTTCGCCGCGTTGTTTCCCACCTGCTTCACGGGGGACGAGGTGGTCGACGACGCCGCTTCCCGTCGGGAGTCCTTCGTGCAGCGCGCCTTGTGTGCAAAGCGGGGGCCGGCTGCTTGTGGCGCAAGCGTTGCAGGGGGCAAGTGGCCCGTCACCACTGCCGCCGCTCCCCCTGCTTCCCTCTCTTTGCGGCCATGGCACTTGATTGCGAACTTGAAGCATGCCGTGCTCTTTGCCTGCAACGACGAGGAGAAGTCCCAGCGTGGCCCGGCGGGTGGATCTGCAAAAGACTACGTCGGCAGCCGTGAAGGCGATGGGGATGAAGCCACATGCCTGCAGAAGGGCGTCCGCGAGGACGAGGAGGTGAACTGTGGGACTGGAAAAAGACATGTGACACCTTCCGAGATTGTTCGGCTCGTGCGTCACTCCCTTCGCATGGTTCGGCAGCAAAGCACGCGAGCCACGGCGGATGCGGTGATGGCGACAGGAGAGAAAGCGCTGCAGGGCACACCACAGTTACAGGAGATGGAGGACAAGTTGCAATACGAAAGGGAGGTGTTGCGAAGTGGTCTACAAAAAATACCGAAAGAGGCGTTGATGTCATATGTGCTTGACGGCGGTGAGGCGATGGGCGGGGTGTTGGAGCCCGCATTGGAGCCTTTGCGTCCTGTCTTGAACCAAACAATGCGATGCTCCGCGTACGCGTTTCATCTTACCTTTGAAACGCTGCTACGTCAGGGGCAGGAGTACATGGCGGTGGAACTTTTTCGTCGCTGGTGGCGCCATAATCCACACTTGTTTCCGGTTGAGCTGGGGCCAAACCTTGAGGAGGATATATCCTCAATGCTTGCTGACGTCAGGGCACAGGGTGACGTCAGCACTTTGCAGTGGAAGAAGATCTCCAGGCTTCTGGCGCAAATTCCCTACAAGAAATACATGGTCGCATCTCCGTTGTTCACGCGGGTGATGAAGGTGGCGTTATGTCTCGGCATCCCTGCCCTGGAAGACGAATTCGTTTTAAAGGAACTCATTTACAAGGGAGTGTATATGACTTGTTGTGCCTCCCGCACTTGTAACCTGGACGACACTGGCCGCAAAGCGGAGCCCTCGGCTTGCCGTACCGATCTGCATTTCCATGCGTTTCAGGAAAAATACGAGGATTGGCTTGTGCTCATTGGGGCAATAGCTGCAGCGGCGGTGTTAGAACGCCATGCAGAGGCCTTTTTGCGGGAAAAAGGAGGAGGGGCAACGTACGATCGCCTTGTACGCTCCGTCTCTGACGAATACACAACATTCATGCAGAGGGCGTCCTGTCCGCAACTAATGCATTCTTCTTGGGCCAGCCTCACAGAGAGGTCGAAGCAGGGCGGGGAGACACTAAAGTCATCGGCGGCGCCAGGCTGGACCAAGCTGCTCTTTACAACTGTGCTTCGTTGCTATGAAGAGGCAGGTGTATTTCACGCCTCACCGGTTCGTCGTCCTGGAAATACGGCGGCACTTTGGCGCCAACTTCATTTTAAACTGATTCAGCACTTTCCACATGTTTTTCACGCCGGAAACACCGTCACAACTTTACTTTCTTTTGCGGCACTCGAAGAGGCGGCAGTTTCTTCGCTAGGAACGCGTCGCTTGAGCTTTTGTGGGAAGGAGGAGGCATTGTGTTGTTGGCGTCTTGAGTGTTTGTCGGAGCGTGAGGCGGAAAACGCTGGGAGCAGCACCGTTAATGGGTTCACGCGGCCTCAATCGATAAGCGACATTCCTCTTGCTTCCAGACGTTTGCGGGCTCGCGTTGTCACCGCCCACAGCACTCGCTTCAAGAGTGTCGCGAGCGAAGCCTCCACGGACAGTAACCCCTGTAAAGATGCAGGGTTGCATACCCAGCAGCAGCAGCAGCAGCAGCTTCACTGGAAGGACCGAGAGCTATTTGGCCAGGCGTTAAGCCTTTCTGCCTCCCAGCCCAGCATTCCTGTCTTCGTGACCCCGGAAGAAGTGAAAAGCTACGCAGCAGACGCCATGGATGAGATCGAGGCCGCCCGACTGAGCATTATTGAGATCTTCCGTGAACATACGTCGTTGCCCATGTTGCGCCCCGCATCTCCTCTTGAGGAGTTAGACCTACAAGAACGTCGAAGTTGCGGTGACATTCTTGCGGAAGCCTCACAACCGTCCATGTTCCTGTTTTTGCGTCTTGTGTCGCTCCTGTCATCCTTCGGCGAGCCCCCGTTGTCTGTCACTGAAGCAGGAGAGATCGCGGACGAAAACCGGTCCTTTTCCCTGGTGACATGCATAGAAGAGGATATTCTTCCTTACTGTCATCCAAGCGTGGTCGCCTTCTTGCGTCGGTGCTGCGCCACATATCTCTCGCGCAGTGGGGTGCGAGGGATTCAGGCGCTCGTGGGTGGACATCAGACGTTGCTGGATCAACTCACAGAGGAGGCCGCCGTAGAACGTCTTCTTGTTGGTGTGCTTTGGGGCGGCGACAATGACACGGCGACGACGCGCTTAGCAAACCATTACTCATTTGGGAGCGGTTCTTTGGCGTGGCAGGTCATTGCCCAGCATCGTCCGGTTATTTTTCGCACGGGCGGTCGTTCGCTGTTGGAAATGGTTCTGTCCCATTTGGCGACGCTTTCTCTCACCATTCCAGACGAATACAGGCGCATTGTTTGCGTCTCGTCGTACATGCACCGTGCCGTTGCGTGCTCGATGGATGTTGCAAGTAAATCGCTCTCAGCCCTGCAGAACGAGTTGGAGTGGAATCCGGCCTCGGCAAGGCACATTTACATCTCCCTCTTGGAATTGCTTGCATGGGCGATAGACAGCAAGGCGAAGAAGGCGGCGGCGGCGGCGGCGGCAGTGAACGGCATAACGCGAGAAGGGCGTACAGCTGGGGCTGGAGATGAGGCGACTTTTGAGGATGAAAGCGGGACAAATCTACCAGCCCTCTTCGACACGGCGCGCCACTGGGGCGTGGTTCAACGTTGCTTTCGTGCGCAGGCGTCGGATCGCAGAGTGTTTCCTCCCTCCCTTTTGGAGCGCGTTTGCCTTATTCTTGTGCATAGCTGCCCGGATGTGGAGTTGGTGGTGACGTGTTTGCTGGCTTTGTGTCAGCAATCACGTGGAGGACCCCCGTCTGACGGAGATTCCCTGTCGTTTGTTACTCCGCGGCTACTTACGAGTCTCTGCTGCTTGTTAGTAATGAATGGGGTGAACGGGGCCTCTGTTCGTAAGTGGCGAGAGAAGAACGGCGCCCCTCCCTCTTGGGTTTCTCCTTTGTGTGGCGACGGTGGCGGCTGCGGTGTCGACGCCAGCGCCCTTAACGTGTGGCATCTGGCGTGCCTTGAGCGCCTGATGCCATCAGCGGCCCAACCTCCGAACGCGGACAGGGCGGGGCCTGATGGATGCACTGCAGGCTTCCATTGCGATGCTGACAATCCCGCCGTTGGAGTCAAGGAGGCAGCGCATTTGCTGGGCAGCATTGTCCTTGACGTGTTGTGCAGTGACGCCCACTGGCGATCGCTGCGGACCGCCAACTACTACGTGTTTCTTTTTGCTTCGGCGGCGGAGTCGTTGCCGAGGAAAGCTGAGGATGCGGCTGGCAAGCACGGCAACCAATCCTCCTTTCCATTAGGAGTCGTATTTCCATCACGGCAGATGTCTTCTTCCCGACCGACCGGAGTTCGTCAGCGCGTGACGAACCTCAAAGATGCACTTCGCGAAATGGGAGCGGAGGGGCGACTGCAGCTTCGCAGTTCCTTGTCACCAGTGACAAAGGGCGGGAAGGGAGTGCTGGAAACGTATCTTTTGACAGATGATGATGATGGCGCCGATGCTGGGGGAGAGGAAGATGCGGCACGCTTTTTCTCCCGTTCCGGGGCTGGTGGGGTTGGGGTCACAGCACCGCACCCGTCCCAGTGACCCCGCGTGAATGCTACAGGCCGGTGAAGATTGCCGTTGGGGTGTGTACATGTGCGTATTTGCCGCGTTGACGGGTTTTCTGTTTGGGTGGAGTTTATGAGTTGTCACCCCCATCCTCCTTCGTCTCACTCGCACACGTCGTCTTCGCGTGCATCCACCTGCCGCTCTCACAATACCTCTCTACTTTTGCTTCTGGCGTATTTGTATGCACTTCTCCAATGACTACTGTATAATTCTTCTCTTTTTTGAAAAAATATTATTATTCTTGCGGCTAATGCGTCACTCCTTTTCCTTGCTGCTGTTGTTGCCTTCTTTTTTTTTCGTTCTTTTTTTTTCTCGCTCTCACTGTGTGTGTGTGTGTGTGTGATTCGTGTTGGTCGGGCCGAAAGGGAGGAGGGGGCGAGGAAAGGCATGCAGACCAGCCGCCGATGCTTTTTGCAATGGGGACATGCAGTCGCGGCAGGCACCGCTGTGCCGCCACGACGACGAAGACAGTTTGTCATGAAGGAGGGGCAGAAGCCACGCCCGGGCGGCAGTGACAGGCCACCTTTCCAGCAGCAATCAAGCCATGGCTCCGCCGCGTCGTTTCGTCCCCCGGGCGGCCTCACACATGAGCTTTCGCAGCGCGAGCAGCACCGACTACAGCAGGAGCAGGAGGAGGCGGACATGTGTCGCCGTGGTGTGCCCGGGGAGTGGCTTTCGCCAGTGCCAAGGCGTTATGGCCTGTATGACGGCATCGACGAACACGGCTACGAGGCGGCACGGGTGTCCAAGGAGGACCGGCGGAAAATGCTGCAGGCGGCGCTAGAGCGAGACGCTGCATCTGTGGTGGAATTTACCGACGGCGGCGAGGAGGATGTTGACTTGGGGGGAATGTCTGCAGGCGAGTATCACGGACAAACGGGGTCGATGACAATTCCACGAGATTCCGCTCTCTATAACGCTGTATTAGCCCGAGAGGAGCTTGATTCGCGGAAGCGAAACAACTCCTGGACGCTGGCACGACGGCGGCAGCATCAAGGCGGGGGGCGAGAGGTCGTGGGGAAGGCAAATGACACCTTGACAACTCAGAAGGATGGAGCTGGAGTTATTGACGACAAACGAAGGCAGCGTAAGCAGGACGAGGGCTCCTACACCAGCGTGTTTGATGAAAACCTGCTGGAGCCCAACTATGAGAGCATCGGTCAGCCCCGTTCGACCTACGGCATGCGAAAGATGTTCGTGGCTGGCCTTACCAGCTATCAAGGTGTTATCACACGCGAGGATGAGGCGTGTATTTCCGACGAGTTATTGCATTTGCTTCAAGACGCCCGCGCTGCATACATCGCCGAGGAATCGCGTTATTGCGTCAACCTCTATGAGAAGGAGTTGGGGATACCCGGAAAGGACACCCTGGCTTTTGCGATAAGCCGTGCCCCGTCCTTGCAGCGGGTGCTGGGGCAATTCTTCCACCTTGGCCTTATCCCCAGCATACCCAACATTTGCCAGGTTAGTGAGATGATTGGAAATTTTTCCGGGTACCCAATTCACAAAAAGCCGGCGGCAATTGGCCCGTATGTGGGCATATTAAATCTTGTTTCCACAACAGTCATGCATCTGCAGCACTTGGACAGCCCTTGGTTTCCTCGACTCTACATGAGCCCGCGAAGTCTTGCCGTAGTGGAGCAGCCCTGCCTTGGGGAGTACAAGATGGGGTATAAGTGGACTCATCAACCGTTCCACACCTTTGAGTACGGCACACGCGTCTCGAAGGACTACCGTATTGAAGTGATGTTCGCCACTGTGGAGGCGGCGCAGATGCGGTACCTGAACGATGCAGTTGGACTGACTGAGTACGCGGAGAAGCAGCAAAAGGAGGAGGGGGCTGCGGAAAACCGGGCATTGTTGTCATCATCATCATTAATATCGCCATCATCGGGCACAGTGAGTGGAGCGGCAGAGGCATTCTGCGGATCAGCTGACAAGTGGATTGAGCGACTGAACCACCAGCTTCACGCCTCTGAGGGAGGCGCGGGGACGGTCAGTAAGGGCGCCGCCATCGATGGAAAGACCCTTCGGGAACAGCTCTTGGCCACGGGCTCTATCGGCGCGAAGGCGCGAACACTTGCGACGTCTGCGGAAGTTGCAGCCAGCACGGACGACTCAAAACGGCAGGGAAAAGAGAACGCAAGCCCCACGCAGCGTCGTATGGCGGCGCTGAAGGCGCGTTACGAGTTTGCCAAGCGGCTAAAGGAGTCCAAGCCGCAGGTGGTTTCTGGAGGTTTGCATCTGATGGAGGGGCACGCGCCACGGAAGCGTGATTCCTCCTGACGCACCTTACTCTCGTTGCAGTTCTTGGACACCGGCTGCGTCACTGTCTCTTCGACCTCGGTGCTGGACGAAAACTCCCCCCCCAAAAA